TAAGGATATTCTTCAATATTGTTTTAATTGACACTATAAGCAAGCAATAATCACAAAAAAGTTTTATAAATCTTCATAATAACGTACTACAAAACGCCTCTGCTTTCGATAATAATTCCCATTTCACTTCCTCTTGATAAAATTGACAATATGACCCCTTTTTTGTAGCAATTTGTCAAAAGTTCTATTAATTTTAGGAAAGTACACTACTCCTCATTATAAATACCCATGAAATGTGAAGATAGCTAAAATAATTAATAACCAGCGGGTAAAAGAAATGTCCATCCAAAAATCCCCATATGGGGACGGCGGGCCTAAATGGGTTAAGAGTGATTTCCCAGTGAACTGTATGGCATTATTGGGAACTTAGAAATTGAACTACCCAATAACGTGTCTGCCAGTTCCAACAAACCAATCAAATTAACCAGTGCTTCTTTCTCCTGAATCGTTAAGGCCTTAGTACTGGCCCCAACGTTTTTCTTAAAAAAAATATACCAAATGTTATATCATCTTATTACCCGGTTATACTAGTTTTTTTTAAAGTCCTTCCTATTCTGTATGTCAAAAGCAAACGTTAATTAAATTCTGAAAACTCTTTTTCTCTAAAGGTCTTACATACTAGACTTTCTGAAAATCAAGTCACTGAGGGAGATGAAATTAAAAAGAAATTTCAAACTGCAAGCGAAAGATATTAGATTACATAAAAATGTTTTAGACGTATAATGTGACATTAATGGTTTCTTGCGTAACTAAAGTAAGTTAAAATAGTTGAGTATAACTAGTAAATCGATTTAACCCTTTAAGTACCGTCATTATAAACACAATTAAAGAACAATAGGTTGCGGTCACCGGGGTCCTCGCAGTGTTTTACAGTTTAAAGACAAATGCTGAAGTTTATCTCTTCTTCATATTAAAAAGAGTAAAATTCTCAGGATAGTTTTAATATAAAAACAACTCAACGGACAGATAACAAGGACAGTATAATTTTAAGCAGTTTTATTAGTTTAATTACATGTACTGGCGAATGAATGCTGTTTTGTGAAACCAGCCTGTATTATCACTACTACTGACAATATCTTATACGTAAACTGCTTCATATCAGCAACGACAATTCCTATTACTAGATAAAAGGGACGATCTAATATCAATAGTAATTTGTAATACTGAGAAGACGTATTGGTAATATTTAGTAATACCATTGAGCTGTTTGACTCCAAGTTACATTTCTGTCTAAAACCCTGATTTTGCGAACTAGCTAATACCTGCATTACTGCATCCAGAGATGCATGAATGTCACGCTCAAATTAACATACACGTCGAGTACTGTCAAACGCTTAACAGAGAACCTGAAACTGATTGAATTAAAGCCAGATTGTCGATCAATTGACATGGATCACGGTAGCAATTTTGGAGAGCTGGTAGCACCAATGAGATTTAGTGTGATTGATACTTGAACTTGTTTTGCAATGACTGTATCATTTGATTTGGTGCTGATAAACACGTTTGTGGATTGTGGGTTTGATACCGCAGTTGTCTATATTGCCACTGGGCATTTTGATGTAAGATTTATAATGTGATTTTTTGTTTTGTTGAACAATCAAATGTATACTTGGTTGGAGGTAAGCATAAATTATAGGTTTATTAACACTTATGTATAAAATTTGCAGCCCTTTAACTGTATTCGGCTCAATGAACCGTTTTTCACATAAAATATGTATACCTACTGTGCTCATGCTTTTCAATCGTCTATAAATATCCCAAAAATGTCTAGAAATCTAATATTTATATCCATACTACACAAGAAGTTATCGAATATTGTATCATGAAAGAGTTTCATACGTTTTTTCTTTGCTCCGATCAGGAGAAGTACGTTTTAAGTGCCATCACATCGTCATTTGTATTGGAAACTCGATATTGTCTCCCGACTGGGTTCAGTGGAGCATGGCATTAATCTCAAGTTTCGAATAAAAATATTGGGTCATCGCATCGCAAAATAGGAATAGTGTAGTACACCGATGTGCAGTCGGGCAGGTCACATGAACACAATACAAAACTCTGTCTGCTATCTGATTTGTATGCAAGCCATTCAATACTCTCTAATGGTATGTTGAAAGTGCAGATTCGAACTTAGATGTACTAAACTATTATATAAGTTTAAACTACAGATTCAGTTGATGGTGTTCAGGTTAGAAATAATGCAAGTGTAAAGTTCAAATTTTGGATTTTTTATGCAATCCAATATTTTGTAATATTTTGTCGTTGGATAATAATAATAATGTTTAATTCTTTTGAATTTTAATACAATAAATTGGTCTCGCTTATACGTTTTACACCATTACTATCTTGTTAGATGAAATAGACGAATCCCCATATGGTGCGATTGTCGGCAAATTGGAAATGCTTGAAGCGAACATCCGTAGCACACTGGGCTTAATAATAGTAATACTGCATAACATACTGCAGTAGATTAATTTATATCATGAGCTGGCATCGTGAAAGCCATTAGCTTAACTGTTAGTATTTATGAGAATAACTTAACTACCTACCTATTGCATTATGCTGAAGAGCTTTATGATCCAAGACTCGCTATTTAATGTATTTACTTTCTATTTACTTTCAGTATCCATGTAGTAGTAAAGCATTATGTCTTGGATTTAATTTCTGGATTAAATGCGGTTGTGCTTACAAAAATATACACAACTGGAAAAATTGTCTGTCTCTCCCGTTTTCACAATAACAAATATACTATTTTCTTAAACTCTCGCAAATATCATTACTATAAATAGATTTAATACGATTTCTATAATTTGATACAATTTCATTGACAATACGTTTGTTGTCAAAGCAAACTGATTCCGATATAACTTAGTTCGGACCCTCGTTATTACCGTGTATTGTTCGATATAATCGAATTATTTGTTCCCTCTTATTATACAATGACGTCAACACGTTCATTTTCCATGCTTTTAATTACATGTTCTTTATCTGCCTCGCAATTTATGATACTGTTATCAGATTCTACAGTATTTTCCATTAAAAGGAAAGTAGGTCTGAAATTGGGTTTAAATTTATTATATTGCATATCTACTTTCATTCTTAAACCCACTTTATTCATTCCCTTTGATTTTTTTCATTTTATTACGTTAGAACATTTTCAAAGGTTTTCCTTGACGCTTCAATATTTATTTTGTAAAATCTTTTCCTATGTGTCACTTTGCTTCTAAATGGTTGGCCCGCTTAATTTGTGATTTATCTCGCTTATTCAAAGTGTGCTTTAATCTAACTCTCTGTAATTTTCCTCATTTCGTACCCTGTCGTAAACCTCCACGTAAATTTTCTTATCATCTTCGCACGTATCGTCACTTTTACTAACTGCTACTAAATAAATGAAATTCATCACATTATATTCATATGAGCCTGGATTAAGGAGATTTGCGGGAGCACATTAGCACGTAGCTGAGTATTATCTATGTTTTATCCAAATAAACAGAATTTCCAGAACAGCTCGCCTACAACAATAGTGGCTGTGCACAGTTTCTGCATTACCATACGAATGGGCACTGCTGTTTTTGTGATAGGAATTAGTGTAGCAGTGAATAAAGGGACTTCGCTCCACTGTTTTACAGTTGTATTTGCAATTTCGTTTTAATTATTCAGACATTCAAGGAAACAAATTTTGTTGGAACAAACTTTTGTAGGTCTTGACAAGAACTTAAACGTGCATTAGCATGTATACATGTGGATGTCGCTATCCATTACATATTATGTTCAGATGTTTTAAGAACGAATACTATAAAGACTTTATTTCTAGAAAAGGCCTGGAATATCCAAAGGTTGGCTAAAATCAAGATTAAGTTTAGTAAAATCTGCTAGTCGTCCAAAAATATAATTTATAGGCGGATGAAACTTCCACCTTTGTAATTTATTGTTTCCAGATTTTGCGTTGAAATTAGGAGCGGGACTTTTGAACTTTGATCATAAAGGCGTTATTATTTGAAAAACTAATTAAGGTTCGTTAAATCGTAACACATAAGTTAGTCTTACGTACAATTACCAGGTACAACACATGGCCGTGATTCTCTGAAATCATCGATGAGTCAAAGCCAATGCACTTCGTGTATTACTGGATACCATTCAAAGGATAATTCGCTATTAAACTCAATTTGTTCTGAAATACGTCATGGCTTTTGAAGCTCAAAGCGTTCCAAGTACTGTACATACCAAACTACATCTTAATGAAACGAGTAATACCAAAGACGCTATCGTAACTTCCAGAATACAACTACGCTTGACTAAACACTTACTGAAGTATACGTAGACTAAACAAGTTTTTTTAATTAACAAGAAATACAAAAATAGTACTTAAAATTCCCTTCCCGAGAAATAACAGCGTTTTTATATCACGCTCTAAATTCCAGATTGGTTGGCAATGCGTTAGCTTTTTCTAAAATTTACGCTCCGTTGAGCAATTAATACGAATTGAGGGGCTTTTAGCTTTAGTTTCCGATTGGAAGTCGTGAGTAGAATTTGTTGCGGTGACCGTGCCAGTACATTTGGTGGATTACGAGACTGGCGCAATATCGACATCGGTTGTTGAGGATAAACTAGTCGCCGATCACGGACGTATGCCAAAAGCGGTCGGACGTAAAATGAAAGAGGATCCCAGTGAAGCCATGTGTGAAAGCAGAAAACATTTTAAATTTTATATTCAGCATGCAAATGTCGCTGCCTAGTCAATCGAATTTGTGTGCTAGTATTATAATGTTAAAAGTGGAATTATATTGATACTAGTTGACATATATTTTGTTGTCTTAATTTATTCAAGCGACGATTAATAAAAATTACGTTTATTATTGACTTTATGATCTGTCTCATTACCTTTTGATATCCTTTAGGAAATGATGGTCATATAAGAGCTTGCTTTCGTCAGGAATGATTGATGCGTTTGATTGAATTAAATCCTCCAAAGTCTTGATCTGAAAATAATTTAAAATTGTTGTTTACAGGCCCTACTCCAGGCGCATGATGTGGTGGCCCGAGAAGTGTACGGCGAGGAGTCTCTGCGGGCGTCACCACCGCCAGTCAATGGCCGTACCACTGCACCACCACCCGAAGATGAGGACGACACAGAACCTGAGTTCGAGAACGTGACCAGGGTGCGCCTCGTGCAGTTCCAGAAAAACACCGACGAACCTATGGTATTAGTTGTTTTAAAGTCTTATTCATTCAGCTAAAAGATTACATTTCTTAAGAGATGATAAAAGTCAAAAGGCATCCTGTCTGAAACAATAACTGAGAATCGGCTAAAAATCTTACCAAGTTATACAAAAGTAAAGTTGAAAGTCTATTCTTTATTTTGTGTCGAAACTATGAGTACAAAAGTTGTAATACTACGTTATATCAGTATTTAAAGATGCCTCCCAGATGTTTGCTTTTATGGATCGACCAGCTGGTATTAACTAAAGTGGGGGAGGATTATCGTAGACTTTTCCATTAAACAAATCTGGAACACATTAACTTACACTTCAAATTAAAAATGACAATACCACAGAAACAAACGAACTAAAACAAAGCCGAAACATTTAAACTCACAAGGGGAAATCCTAAATCTAAAACAAAAACACGAACGAGACCAAAGGTTTCGTAAAAATAAATATTGACTCTCATTTCAAAGCGGGTACTGAAACCGTGGTTGGCAAACAGTGGATGTCGACTCGGCGCTCTGTAGACACAGGTGCGTGAACTTAATCCTTGCAGATCACTGATCATTGCCTATTCTATGATCCGTACTTACGTGATCTGTCTATTTCTGTATTGCTATGTTACTCTGGTACTGAGACATTTCTGTGATCATTGGTGTTTGAATTGTCACCGTGTATTCTGCCTTTTAATGTTGAAATCCGACCTTTAACGTTTAAAATACAATCCAGGTTGCCAAAAATGGGAGATATTAAGTTAAAGTTAATAAATAAAATGAAGGATGGTAAGAAATTTTCTGCAAAAATAAATACCTACTTAACCTATTTAATTCGGATTTAATATTCGCCCACGCGAGATACTTCGAGTAATTATTGAAATGTTTTTGTAATATCCAAAGTTTTTACCAAAAATATATGTTCTCAACGACAGTAAAGAAATCCATGTTTAAAATGATTATTTACTTGGTCATATAGTTTGTACAATTTAAGATTTTAAACTATGTTATTCAATCCTGTTTATAGGGCATCACACTAAAATTAGCTGACGATGGACGATGCATCGTAGCCCGCATCATGCACGGAGGGATGATACACAGACAGGCGACGTTACATGTCGGCGATGAGATCAAAGAGATCAACGGCACGCCCGTCGCCAACCAGTCCGTCGCCCAACTACAGAGAATGCTGGTACGTGACTAAATTTTATGCTAAAAGTGTTTGAATTTTGATTAAGGTTTCAAGATTCTTCCCTGGTCGCAAATTTTACAAAAACGTTGAATAGTAATTGGGCTAATGTCAGCTTCCACGACAGAACAAGAATCTTTTCGTAACAATTAACTTATGTCGTGTATTCAAACTTTTATTCTACATTAAAAATGTTATCATTATTTATATAAAACAGAGGTAAGTGCATACTTCAGAACAATTTATTCTTTACTTTAAATTTATTGGAAACAAATAAACGTTACAGCGAGAAGCTCGTGGATCGGTGACATTTAAGATCGTGCCCTCATATCGTTCAGCGCCGCCACCATGCGAGGTAACTCACCTTTATACTATCTTATACACTATGCTTACAAGGATTTGAGGACAGCCTTTAGCAAACCCTGGAGTTTTGTCAGTGTGATTAAAAAACAGTAGACGTAGCTCAGTTTGTATTTAACACTAGTTTGAACTAAAAGTCAATAAAAATATACATAAATATTGTTTGAAGTTAACACAATAGATAGTAGTGTGATTCTAACGCTTGTTTTTACACTAAAAAATATAGCGAAAAGTCGACAAGCGCACACAAATTCTTCACAAACAATGCTTGTCTTGGAGCATAAAACAATTGGTATTAAAATAGAAGACATTAAAATTCTGTATTTTTGTTCTAACTAGCTTTTCCGGATAAAGCCTTCGCCCGTGCTAGTAAGTAGCGAGACCAGACCCGTTGCTACTTTGTGATATGTTTATTGTTTATGTTGGTCGTTTTATGTTGTGTTATGTTTTGTTTATGTATTGTCACCTGGGCATGGCTGCGCGTCCCCGCGATCTCCTCCGTTTCTGTGCGCTTGTTGTTCTTTTGTCATAGCTCCACTCCATCGCACCTCACATCACCCTCTCACCCTCCATGTCTTTCATTCTGTTCGTTTTGTTTGCATTCCGTTTCTAAACTTACTAACTTACCTGCTACTAAATTGGCATTCTTATTAAATCATTACCAACCAATGTTTCATGCTCACAAATTCCCATTTTTGCCTATTAAGCCCCGTTTATCAAAATCAATCATTTTTATTGTCATTCTGTTTCCCGAACAAATAAGAAAGTTGCTTATTTATTTTTAACTTTCCAGATTTTCGTGAGAGCGCAATTTGATTACGATCCATTAGAAGATGAATTGATTCCGTGCGCTCAGGCCGGCATCGCTTTCAATACTGGTGATATTCTGCAGGTATGTTTTAGAACCAAATAAAAACAATTCGAAATTACCAAAATAATTCAGAAATCTTTTAATCAAATGAAAATTAATCGAAAAATGTTTAATGCAATTTCATCGGGTTTCCAGATCATCAGCAAAGATGATTCCCATTGGTGGCAAGCTCGCAAGGACGCGTCTGGCGGTTCAGCTGGTCTCATTCCTAGCCCTGAACTACAGGAATGGAGAGCAGCATGCGCTGCCGCAGAAAGATCTAACACCGATCAAGGTAATGCCGGTACAATAGATACAAAAAAAAAAAAGATTAAAATTATCTGTTTCTCAGGCATAAGGAACACAAAGCTCTTGAAAAATATTAGGTGCTTTAAATGTTAGACGTGTTTCATTTACCGTTTTTTCTTTATTTTTATTTGGATGATCAGTATCTAAAAGTATTTCATGATCCATGAAAATCGGTGTGTCGTTGTGTTTAGTTTATGCAACGTTGTGTATAGCAGTATTTATTTTACCGTCAACTTTAGTACTTTGTCAAGGTGATCGTCATTCCGGTAATTTGCTATGTTTGTCTTAGTTTCATTGAATGTCGCATCTATATAAATGTCGTATCAATGTGATTTTCTAATAGATTCTTGGTTGAAAATGGTTACTGGTATATTATGACCCAAAATTTACTTTGAACGATTGCATATTCAACCGAATTGGCAGATGTATTGAAGACACGGAATTACAGTAACCGTTAAACAATGTTCGTTCATCTAACATCTGTCTCTCTTCCTCTTTATGTTAAATGTGAACAGTCTGATTTGTACCTTATTCCAAAGTGATAAGTAGCTTTATATTAATGACATTATCTACCTTAACTTACATTAATTTCGTGTTATGCTTTCGATTTCATCATTGGACGAAGCAGTCGGTATGTAAAATTGCTTTTTCTTCCTGTGTTTTGTTTATGAGTGATACAAGCTCCCGTGTACTGTAATAAGCTAAGGGACATGTACCTAAACCAAGTTGTGCATGGTACAGAGCCAGGATCCTACTGAAGTAGAACCATTGCTAATCTTGTATCCCTTGTTCAGAGGGCTTAGTACGAATTCGTTTTACGTTTATAGTAATCGTAATGAAACCGCGTTCAACGTTCTGGTTGGTTGGTTCATTGGAGCCGGCCAATCAGAGAGCCGGACGCGTACTCATTTCGATTACTTTAAAAAAAAACTCTTACTAAGGCCTTTGCTAATCACGACCTATTGTTACGTCCATTCCAATCTGTCGTAGCAATGGTCTTTGTAGAACAATGAAAACTAATAAAATGTCTACTTATTGTATAATGTATTTACCAAGGGAGTTTGTGTAACCCTGTTACCGTATTGTCATTATTTGGAAATGTTTTGTCAAAAGCTCTTTCGGATTCTTTGAGCACAACACTTTTATCAATCATTAGCTACTTCGGCGCGGTTTCACACGCTCTGCTCAGCTCCTATTGGTCGTAGCGTGATGTTTTATAGCCTATAGCCGTCCTCGATAAATGCGCTATCCAACACAAAAAGAATTATTCAAATCAAACTTGTAGTTAAGGAGATTAGCGCGGTCAAACAAACAAAACAAAAAAATAAACTCTTCCGCTTTATAGAGGTATAATAGTATAAGATATAAGATTTGTGCGGACAGTGCCATATTTGTCCAAAAATAATTTGTTGATTGATGCTGGAAATTCAACTTGTGAATTTTATAGTTCCTATTTTAAAACTACGAGATCATCCACGACCATGATGAACGTGTTTATGATGAAATAGCCTCAACTAAAATCAAGAAGTATTAAAATTCTTACTAAATAGATTCCTTAATATTTTGTAAAGAACTTCATCATGATATAAATAAAAACAGTATCCCTCTAGAACCCACTTCAGTTCCTTCCATTTTCGCAATTAGTGTAACGGTAACGATACGACCAAACTTACGTAGTAACTGGTTAAGAACTTGAAGTTTAATTGTGATAAGAAAAGTCTGTAATGAGAGATATAAATGAGCACTTTTTTATTTGATTTGATAATGAAGCACTAGTTACAGTTATAATGATGTTAAGTTGAACAAGTTGACTGCCTCATTGGCCGAGTGGTCGCAAGTGCGACTGCCGGGCAAGGGGTCTCGGGTTCGATTCCCGGGTCGGGCAAAGTATTACTGGGTTTTTAAAAATTCTCAGTAGTAGCACGGAGTCTGGAATTGTGCCCGGTATATGGCAATAGGCTCACCCCCTATTACATGGGACTCATAAGATAAATAGTGAAAAGTGGGTGTTACATTGTACAGTGGCATAATGTGCACCTCTGCCTACCCCTTCGGGGATAAAAGGCGTGATGTTATGTTATGTTATGTTTCGTCTGTCTACCCTTAAGGTGGACAGATGACCTGATTAAGGTCGCAGGGAGCTGCTGTATGCAGGTCGTCTCCAACCGGCCTATCTGTAAGTCATTGGGGGAGGCCTATGTTCAGCAGTAGACGTCTTATTTCTGATATGATGATGATGTAATAAGTTTATGTTGAACGAAATTGACAATACCCCTTTAGCGATAGATTTTACTTCATCTTTCTACGGGAAAAACTATCAAAACGGGCATCAACTAAGTCATTGCGAGAATTAATTTTAAACGAAAGGCGTCCTTAAAACTTACAAGATCCAAACTACATAAAAACATACTTATACTTATTTAATCGAATAGCCCCAAGATTCAGTACCGACCCCTATTGAAAAAGGGTACATATAATAAAAAGGTCTTTAAAACTTACCCTATAAGTTTCATTTTATAAAAAAAGAATACATTATGCAATCGAGTAGGTCAAAGGTCCGTATCTTATTGATGAAAAGAATATAGTGTAATAGAAAAGAGTCTCTAAAACTTAAACATAAGGTTCAAAATAAACAAAAACTTTTGACAAAACATTCCCACTGCGTGTAACCCGAATCGTGTAGATCCGTTACCATCCATTCCGTTTGCATGAACCGTGTTGTAATGTTGTGCGGCTAGGAGCCGAGGGGTGCGTGTCCCATACCGACGGTTGTGAGAATACAGGTACAATTTATAGTCTATGTAGTCTTATTATCTAACCGCAATGTTGAATTGAAGTGCATTAGTTCGCTTTTATTGTCAGTGTAGGCGTTGTAGATAATAGGGTAGCAAACCAAATTTTGTTTCAATGTCCGTCTGGTAGATTGTGTTCAAACATTAAACCCGTCTTTTATATTTTCTTTTCTTTTAACGTTGAACGAAACGAAACGTTGTTTTCACCTGTGTCGTGGGTGCTGGGTGAGTTTACAAACATACAGGTTTACTTTTAACAATTTGTGGAGCACACATAGAGTTGTTCCGTACGGGAATCAAACCCGTTACACATTGCAGGGCAGCCAGTTGCTCAGCTACCGAGCTAACCGTGCAATTAAATATTTTCGACGATATATTAATTTAAAATATCTTATGACGCCACGACGTGCTACAAAATGTAACAAGTCGTGACATAACGACCTCCCACACCTAAACTTAACTCCATTTTATCTAAGTATTGTAACTTTATACGAGAAAATAAAAAATACGTGTCTAATGTTTTTTCATTATCTAACTGACGGACTAATTCGAATTTTAATTTTCATACCCGGCAGGGTATTTGTCAAACTACCCTATTGTTTGTGGTAGTTGTTATTGCACTTTATTTATCCGTAGCAGCTGTAATATTGTAATTGATTTCTACAAATAGTTTAATAGTCATAATAATAAGATGTTATCAAATACCATCAATGGTCCGTCAAGTTCTGTCAACCAGTTGACGTCGCATGATGAAGCTATTAATTGGGATAAACAAAGTGAAATAATCGTACCTACCTACACAAGAAAAGCAATGCAAAAATTATGGAAGATTTTGATAACACTTCAGCATGCAGCTAATATGTCATTTCATATACATTTTGTAAGAGATTTTACTGGGTAACTACTCTGAACTTTTCATGTGTTAACAAAATTTTTCGATATAAATATCTTCGAACGCAAATTGATACTCAAAAATTCTATTTTGTATATCATCTTGCTTTGAAGTTTCATAAATAAAAATTGATGTACATATTTAGTTTTTTTGTCTTAAGCTTCAGTGTTGTTTTTAGCTGTAGATTTGATTTAGATATTTTTCAATTTGTTTGTTTTTGCTTAAATCAGGCTGCCTACAATTTTAAAAAATAGTCATGACTGACATGTGTCACTTTTGACAGCTGTCAAAAAGGTGGGCTTTAGAAGGTTTTACAGCTGCGATGAAAGTTAAATAGTTCCTATGAAAGTAATTTTAAATTTAATTAGTCTAATGTTAATTAAAGTTAATTATATTTGTTCATACATTTGTAAATTGTTTAACGAAACAATAACACTTGCTTTGGAAATGTCTTTGATAACGATAAATGCTTATAGAAAACGCACATGATGCTGTTTGTCTTTTTATAAAATCATGCATGTACACAAAAATAAAATTAAAATATTTTAAAAGGCACCAATAACAAAAAAAATCACAGAAGCATGTTTATAAAGAAATAACTTAAAAAATAAATTGGCTTTAAACTTTTTTTATGTTGCAATACCAATATTTTGACGATTACATAAATTAATGTTTGTTTTTGTTTAATTTTGTTTCAGTTAACTGTTCCATATTTGGACGTAAGAAAAAGCAGTCGAAAGACAAATACTTAGCGAAACACAATGCTGTGTTTGATCAACTCGACGTTGTGACTTACGAGGAAGTTGTGAAGTTACCATGTAAGTATCGAACTTTAAGGTTATCTATGATCTCAGTGACGTGCCATTGACGAGGCTTATGTCTAGTTGTGAACGTTAAAGCCGCATTTACATTTGTCTGACGCAGGATTCACCAATCAATTGACTTCGTTGAAAATTACGTCAACCATTATGAGTTTTGTAGCCAATCAACTACATTAAAAAACTTCACGACACGCCACGTCAGAAAAATCTAAATGTGGCTTAACAGTTCACGTTTCTGATAAAATTATCCTTATCAATATAAGCATAATTTTCTGAACGAATCATCTTATTCGTTAAATTAACTTTGTTACAGTTTTTTTTTTAGTAACACTTTATTGCGCACAAATTGGGGTACATAAGGCGGACTTAATGCCATATGGCATTTTCTCCCAGTCAATCTTTGGGTTAAATATAAGGTCAGCGAAATGGCAAAAAAAAATTTGTTACAATATTCTGATTCTCATCATGAGATGTGGATATTTCATGACGATTATTTGTATTTTTAAACCAAATACTTTATTCTACAATTTACAGCATTCCAAAGAAAGACTATCGTGTTGCTGGGCGCCCACGGCGTTGGTCGACGACACATAAAGAACACTCTCATTGCGCGACACCCAGACCAATATGCTTATCCTATACCACGTGAGTGTCTTGAATAATTTATGTAATAATATTATACTCCCTATAGCAGGGTTTCCTAGACTACGAATCGCGACCCATTAGAGGGTCGCAAGCGAATTTTTAGTGGACTTTGTCTGTCTGTAGACGAACACTAACGAACTGTTTTGTACCTTATTATTCATATTGCAAACGGTTTAATTTCCTGTAAATGGGTCCTGAGTTTGAGAACTTGATTTGGATAGGCCGTAGTCCAGAGAACTTTAGCAACCACTGTCCTATAATATTTTTGTAGCTGCCTAAATAAGTTTTATTGGGATCACAATACCCCCAAAGTTAGTAGTGACTGAATGCAAAGAGTTTAAAGTTGACGGTCAGAAACTGGCGAATACTAATCAATTTAATGTGTAAATCTTTTTCTTTTGCAGACACTACAAGACCACCTAGAACCGATGAAGAAAACGGCCGACACTATTACTTCGTTACCCACGAAGAAATGATGGCTGATATTGCGGCTAACGAATATTTGGAATATGGTAAGTAATCACACATTTCCATACTCCATAACTTGAATATTGAATAATACCTATTATGTGTAGTTCTTGAAGAGATTTCTGAGTATTTTTATAAGTTGAATAACCTTGAATGCATTGCGCAAAATTTTTGCGCATAGTGCGCATTCAGTTTCATATGTGCGCAATTCTCTATTTCAGTCTGGCAAAGTTCTTGAAGAGATTTCTAAGTTTATTTGTAAGTTGTATATCGAATATCAATGTAATAATATGGTTCGACTCCACATTATAAATATTAAGGGAACAAAACTGAAAAACCCTTCAGTAGTTTTTGTAGTATATTACTAAAGAAATGGAACCCAAATAAAACCCTATGAAAATCCATATATTCAAATCATATTTCTTGCTTCAGGTACTCACGAAGACGCGATGTACGGCACTAAGCTAGAGACAATTCGTCGCATACACTCTGAGCGTCGCATCGCCATATTGGACGTGGAACCGCAAGCTCTGAAGATTTTGCGCACTGCAGAGTTTGCGCCTACGTCGTCTTTATAGCTGCGCCTCCGCTCAACAATGTTGCTGATGTAAGTACCTTGAATGCATTGCGCAAAATTTTAGCGCATTTTGCGCATTCAGTTTCAGGTGTGCGCAAAATTTTGAGTTTATTGAAAAATGATTGCAAGTATGAACAGTTGCATTCAGTACCAAAGTTTGAGTCAATATTTTAAAGATTTTTGAGAAATTAAAATTTTACCACAGTTTACCTGTTTAATATCAGAAAGCAATAGCTCAAATACCACAATATAAAAATAATAATAATTACAAAATAATAATTATGGATATCATTTTCTTTTTCAGTACGACGGCTCCTAGAAGTGTTAGTCCGTGAATCAGAACAGCTCCGCCGCACCTACGGTCACTACTTCGACTTGACAATCGTCAACAATGACATTGATGACACTCTATCTCAACTGGAGTCGGCCCTTGTACGACTTCGCTCCACGCCCCAATGGGTCCCAGTTTCATGGGTCTACTGACAATCTGATGACGAATCTCCGTAAGATCAACTAAGGAATACTGGACTTTTAATCAGTTTCAGACTCATTTTCTTACTAATATGTTTCTATTACGGATTGACTCTTGGGCTTCCTAAAGGAATCTTTTACTGATCAATTTATTCTTAAGAATGTTTAGTCTTTTATTCAATTCACACTAAAGATTTTTGATGACATTTCTATAGTATAAGATTCGATTTTGATTCTATATGCACTGAAATCGTTAACAATAAAGTCCATATTCCTTAATCTTACTCTGATGATTATTTTGAACCAAAGACCACTTTGAATTGACACCAAAACATCACACACGACGCGAAGGCCGCTCCGGCCTTATAGACTATTATAGAACACTTAATAATGTTCACTAAATCTATCGGATAATGAATACTTTAATTTCACATCACACTCTACAGGCATACGACACTTATAAATACGTTGCTATCCTATTTTGAATAGAGCAAAATTTACTATAAGACAAAATAACATTCTCGATTATTTACTATGGTAACACAGATTATGGCTCAATAGATCTGAATTATCTCTAATAGGCATCTAGCGGCAATGATCGAGCAAATAGTATTGCCAGATTATTGTACGCTTGGGTTGCCATTCTTAAGTGGAGTAATTTAGATCAATATAAAAAAAGACTTACAAAGTAAGCTAAAACGTCACAAAAGATGACAACTCTGCGCTTGTTACTTTAATGAGATAATATAATCTACAATTTTATTAAAAGACCTCAATTTATATTATTTACTTAAAACAAGTATTAATTTCAATTATTGTGATAAAATATAATTGTTTAAATTAAGTACTGTAATTAAACTAAACAATACTTTATTATGAGAAACACAAAGTCTAAAATTGCGCTTGCATTGTTAATTTGGTGCATGTTAGCTCAATTTTACTATTACGTGCCAAATAATACAACTTGAACATTTTCGAGGATATTCGATCACCTGCACATGACACTACACGATTTTTGGAACCATGTACATAAATATACATTAGTACATAATCTATATTAACAAAAAACTAATTCCTTAGAAATGTACCGTAGCTCAAAATGTTTACTTCGACATTTAAACTTAAGATCTATTCTACCTTTAGTAAACTATTGTAAAATCTTGTCGTTTTCCAACTAAAGAAATCGTATTATATTGCACTGGGTGATAGTTTAAAAATAATCGTCTAAATGGCAACTCGTTATACGAATGGTAAAATAATCGACTAAAAACTTAGAACTAGCACATCGCTTTTCTAACAGAATTGTAAATATAATGCGATTCTATAAACGTGCTATAAAAAGTACAAAATAGACCCTGTACGATTCCCATGCGTGATACCTATAGATCAACTAGTTGCCTGAATGCAAAATTAGTTTTTTTGCTAAGTAACATAGACGTTTCTAGATTTTAACAGCGGCCATATTAAGACGCGCGAACTATCTGACACAGTGTCCCTGTATTCGTTAGTTGGAAACCGGTCTATTGACTATATCACAGGATTTAGAATTCACAGGGTTGCAAGAATCATTAATTAATAGTCGATTTTGTTTTTTCATTAATAATTTTACTTACAACTTTTTTTGTATTCGTACTTATTGTTTTTATTGTAAGCGTTTCTTGCGATTGTTCTTATTGATAAGTATAATTTGATTTTGAATGGTGCCATAGAAAGATTACTTATGAATTGATTGAAAGGTTATAACTCTCTATGCTATAAGTGAATGCATTGGAAAGTTAAGAAAGAAGAATTTGTACCAATACGACTCAAAATAATTATCTATAAACGACAAACGATGCGTGAAGGAATGACGTGATAGAATTTTGGAACGATACGCTCAAAAACGTCTGTGGCGCCATCTATGAATAATTTTCATTAAACTTGTCACCAGTATTTTCTCTATTCTTCACAAGTTTGATAGTGGCAAGAATTTAAGAAGTTCTATTGAGCAATTATAAAGGACTTATGTAAACGCCACGTCAAACAGCATACTTCGTTTAATTTTTCTTCATGGCTGCACTAATACATTCCTGTATATAACTATAATGAACGAGTAGTGAAATTTTACTATATAAACTCTCACTGTTTCACTAATTTTACTTTTAAAATATAATTAGGCTAAGTAGGGTTCGTTGTAAGGGTTGATTATTATTATCGTGGAATTGTTTTTCTTTTTTTTTTTGAAATTTTTACCTTTGTTTTGTTTATGGAATGACAAGTATGGAAAATGCAAATAAAAAATATGCAAGGAAATAAATTCAGGAGAGTATCGTCGAACTCTGTGTACTTGGCACTTCATAAACATAAACTTTTTTTACTAATTGTGTTTTTGTACTAAAATGTAAAATGTAGGATTTATTTTATACTTAACTCGTTTGTTATTAACTTATTTCGAACTTAAAAGTTCGTTTCATCATTTTACAATTTTGTTGGTATTTGTACGTGTTTTTTTTGTTTTTATTCTTTCTCCTAATGTAAGATAATCAATAGTAAAATGAACGTAGATAAATTAATCATACAATATTGAATTTAAATAGTTATTATCTATGGTAAAGAGGAGATAATGCGAAAAACGCAAACGGCGAGTAGCACTATTGTCTATGTTTTGTTAAAATGTTTAATGTTGCCAGTTAAATGTTACAATTATTTACCAATAATACAATTTATAGACGAAATTACGTTGCTATTAAAATTTTAAATTTTATTAACGAAGATATTTAAAAGTTTTAAATTGATTTTTCTTATACTAGTAAAGGAAGTTTATTATGTAATTATATGGATATTGCGTGCGAAATATAGAGATTTGTTAGCAAAAGTCATATTTAATTATTATAAGACGAGTTTCTTTAAAATTTATCGTTATAGGATTAGAATTCAATGTACACTTTCTTTGAAAGATTTGTGTGACGAATAAATATGAATTATAGTACCCATAAAATCTGTTACTATTTGGGACACTGCTGTATAATAATGGAAGTATTGATACAACTTAACTAGTTAATTTTACGTCCCGTATGTACTCAAATAAACTAAATTTTATTTACTAGAACAAGTTATTGTTTAAAACATATAATTATGTTGTTGATTTTCTATGACGATAATAATAAAATGCTTTACGATTAATTATTAAATAAAATAGTGATTTTTTTTCTCTATTTAGTAGCTAGTGCTGCTCTTGATTGAATGAGTGTTCGAGATGATATCTCACAATATTATAATAATATGTAATTAATACTAATGTATTTATCAATGATCAATTTTAATGTTAAAATACATCACGACAAGCAACACCTGACCTATACATTCCATTTATTTTTGTTTATGTTTAAAAAAATATTGTAATTATAAAATTATTATTATTATTGTCACTAAAATGTTATTAATTTTTATCATGATTGTGATTATTAGTTTAGGATGTGTTATTTTGTTAATAAAGTCATCTTTTTCTGTACTTATATCAGTTATAGCACTAGGTATCCAAAGGGTTAATTTTCTGTGGTTTTATGTTAAAACTTATGTCATTTAATACATCAATAGTTATTGTATACCAACTGTAGTTTAATCGTAATTGAAGTTTAAATGTAAAATCACATGAAATGAACAAAACTTAAACTATAGTTAAATATAATATCTACCTACTAATTTAATTCTTAAACTGAATGTTTGATTTGAGCCGATTCGTGTTCGAAAGTTATTTGGACCACCAAAACGGCTTGAAACACACATATCATAAATTACAGAAATTGATGTTTATGTACCGGTATGAAAACAAAAATAAAGAAGAAAACTGACGAAATGTGGTTTTATCTGATTCAAATAAAGATGACTGAAGTAAAATCTTATTATAATAACTGTTAACAATTGAATAAACGGCACAAAATATTTGTTTGTTTCATTTATTATTTTACCCGCGGTTTCGCGTCACAAAAGTACAAAAGTCTAAAAGTAGCCTATGTGACTATCCATCCCTTCAATAACCTTCAGTTAAAAAAAAGTTAATTAGTACCTCCGTTTTGCCTCTTCTTCCTACTCGTTTTCTTCATTACTGAAGGTCGTGTAGTCTGGTGCACGCGTCACTTGATGCACAACCCTTCTCCAAACGCCCTGTACTCTGCGGTCTTTATGGCTTGTGGAACTGTCAGGTCGGTTAGGTTTTTTACAGCATCGGGTAAGTGAGCGACCACGAGGTCTTTTCCCGCTAACCCGACCAACAACCACAAGCTTCTCCAGATTGTTGGGGTCTCTACGCGCAATGTGGCCAAAATAAGTTAGTATTCGCAGCAGGCATACAGTGGACAGCCTCGTAGTTATTCTGATCTCCTTAAGAATGGAGCGAACGTTGGTGCGACGAGCGGTCCAGGGAATACGGAGCATACATCTCCAGCACCACATTTCGACGTTTTGCCGTTTAACTCGTCGAGTACCGGTTTTATAGACACAATTAAAGAACAATAGGTCGCGGCCACCGGTGACCGCTTTGTGTTTGACAGTTTAAGACATATAAACAAATAGCTTTTTTTTCGTAGATTCTTTTTAGATTTTTCTGTAATTTGTTTTTCCAGGACTCAAACTACCTTCATACCAAATTTCTTCAAAATCCGTTCAGCCATTTAGGCGTGAAAGAACCCATCCTCCCATTTCAAATTGAAAGACTTCACCTAATTAATATACAGCTACTGTATCCATCAACCTAAACAATGAACAAAGCGTCATAAAAAACGACGAAAAAACAACAACTACATTAGATATTGATATCTACCTAGAAAAAACATACTATACTAATCATACCTAATTATGAGCGAGCAAATCAATCTCAGTACTTGATGCTTATTATTAATTCGGAAGCTCGAAACCTATACTTTTGCCGGTAACAAAACCATAGCGCCATCTAACTCGATCCTAACGTTTCTATCGAGTGTTGAAACAACAGCGTACAATTTATTTGCTAGTTTTGTTGACGCTGATTTCGTATAGGTACCTTTAACAACCTAAAATCTATAAAATACGGAATTTATTGTAAAATGGTAGGAATAAATACTTAAAACACAACATCATCAAGTTTTTTAAACAATCAGCGCCATCTATCACTAAGTAGCGTGACTACTACATAGATACCAATTCGTAATACGATGACTTATAAACAGCAAATAAATGAGCCGAAAAGTGCACCGAATAGGTACCTACTTTTAAAAACCTATAGTCTATAAAAATATAATTTAACGTTAAATGTTAGAAACCAAAAATAAAAGCGAAAAATACTTAAAAAACACAATGTTACTAAATATTTAAAAACCCAGCGCCATCTATCGCTACGTAGCGTAACTACTACATAGATACCAATTAGTAATTCGTTGACTTATAAACAGCAAATAAATGAGTCGAAAAGTGCACCTAATAGGTACCTTTAAAGACCTAGTCTGTAAAATACACAATTTAATGTTAAATGGTGACCAAAATTTAAAAGCGAAAAATACTTAAAAAACACAACGTTACCAAATTATTAACACACTCAGCGCCATCTATTGCTAAGTAGCGTAACTACTAAATAGATACCAATTAGTAATTCGTTGACTTACAAACAGCAAATAAATGAGTCGAAAAGTGCATCGAATAGGTACATTTAACACTCTATAATCTAAAATGTTAAATGGTAGGAACCAAAATTAAAGGGAAAAATACAACGTTACCAAGTTTTTAATACTCTCAGCGCCATCTATCGCTAAGAAGCGTAACTACTACATAGATACCAATTAGTAATTTGTTGACCTATAAAACAGCAAATAAGTGAGTCGAAAAATGCACCGAATAAGTGTAGGGAGCGCTATAGATGTAAGACACAATAGCAAACACATGTTACGTGTCTCGAGTAGATTTGCGCTCCCACGCCTGTTAATCGCTGCCAAAAGGCTATCAAAGCACTAGTAATCTTTGGGCAGCGCCGATTGTTTACCATCAGGTGAAAGAAAACTATCAGCCCTTGTCAGTATAATGTTAGAATAGCACAAGAGGCCCATAGAAATCTTCTCTACATAAGAAGAGCTGGCAATAATCTCAATGCTTAGATATTGCATTCAAAACATTTTTGTTAGAGCGCTACTGCCCGGTCTATAATAAATGTGTAGTGATGCAGTCTTTTGTCGACATAGAGCAACCGTTACCGCACGGCTTCCAATTAAATATAGGCTTCAGTTCAATAACTTAGTATTTTAGGCTCTACTCAATTTAAATTAAAAAATAACTAAGTCGGCGAGACGTGAAACAAGATATGAAACTTCACTTTTCGGATTGGTACCTATTATTCAGTTATTCGTAATCGTATAATTGCATTCGCTCTTTTTTTTGATTTGATTTGATTTGCTCTTTTAAGGCTGAAAAGTAAGGTAAGTAGACAAAAGAAATGGACGAATAAACTAGTAGGTACTGGTAAGCATCCTTTGTTAACGTAACACTGCTCAGTGCGTGCTCAGTGCTCCGCCCAGGGCCACTAATCGTAGCCGACGGAGAAAGTGTATAGAAGTAAATGACATTTGATGTAGAAGAGAAAAAAAAACCAGCAACTGTAGCCAAATGCCATTAAGCGCTTGTCTACATGTAGAATAGAAAACCAAATTATATGGAATTGACGTAAATTTTGACACTTGTCAGTGTCATCCCCATACATTTAGTTTTCTACTCTCTTTGTAGACAAGCGCTAAAGTTGCGTTTGGCTAAAGGCAAAGGTTATTTAATTTTAACATAATGGTTGTCAAACCATTATTTAAGTAACATTTTTCTGTAAATAAATTCAGAAATTGTTCAAAAACATTTTGTTTACATTGATTCGATTTCGAATAGAAATGGGCACAGACAAAATAAGTCCATCATATCGGTGACAGCTATCACAGCTATCAACGTCAACTTGACGTTCTAGTTTATTCTGTGGATGCTCTTTGGCGTGTGTGTGTTGTGTTTGTAAAGATTATACATTTTCCAAAATATACCGCTAATTTCTTGAAATAAAACAGTAGCTACTAGTTAATTAAAATGGATAAAAGAGAACGTCGTTCTAATGCGGGCAATTTGCTTGCAAAAGTGCTTGATGAAGAAGAAGAAGATGAATTTTATGCAACAACTTACGGTGGATTCCAAGAGACTGAGGAAGACGTTGATTACAAGTAAGTGCACCTTTTAGTGTTTAACTCGTCGAGTACCGGTTTTATAGACACAATTAAAGAACCGGTCGCGGTCACCGGTGACCGCTTGGTGTTTGACAGTTTAAATCTAATACACAGATATTCTAAACATAATCCTGACTTAATGTGACCTTTTAAAACTATTATTATGTTGTCGAAATTATTCGGTAACCAAGTGACACCACTAGTTTTGTGTTTAGTGAATAAAAATGTGTTTATTTGACTGTAAATACCTAGTTACTGTGCTTGCATAAAAATATTCAGTTTTATTGACCGGTAAGGGACTTAATGTATAAGTAAATTCTTATAATAATACCTTATATCTTACCAGTTAATGCTGTGATAGTCTGATGTAGACACGCCGACATCAGTACTCAGTTTTTATGACAAATCCCAGTAAACCTAATGAAACATATTATTATATTGGTACTTTTGTAGTTATGGTACTTTGAACATTGCAATTAGTTTTGTTTATTTACAGACAAGAGAAGGAAGTAGATGATGAAGTGGACTCAGATTTTAGTATTGATGAAAATGATGAACCCAAGTCGGACGATGAAGCTGATGAGAAACGGACAAGGAAAAGCGGCACTAAAGTTTATAAGGTAAGGTTTATAATCCATTGTCCCATTCTACAAAAAAACAGACATTTTGCTAAGTATAATAGGTATTATAATATGAATGATGTTTCATTTCAATTGTGCTGAATATCCCTCTGCTATTCTTTAATACATTGATATATCGTACTGAAAATTCCCAAAATATGTTCATACAAAAGTAGTCTCTAAACATCATGAATAAAGTCTATAATGGAATTAGTAGAGAGTGGTCATCGGCGACCGCTTGGGGATTGATCAGTTAATAGCGCTATTCAGGGAACAACTGAGTCATAAACACAAACTTAATTCCTTCTGATCTAAAATTCAACCTACAGACATAGATCAAACATTTGATTGCAAGGTTGGCACGGTGGCTGGGCAACCAGCTGCCATGCAACATGTATCGGGTTTGATTCCCGCACAGACCAACCCTTTGTGTGATTTGTAGTTTTGGGTCCAGGTGTCATGTGTGTGTGAATTTTGTGTATTTGTAAACGCACCTAGGACAACGCAAGTAAACGTAGGGGCAATATATATACATTTTTTAAAAGAAACATATTTAATATACTTTTCAGGATCCAAACAGAAAGAAAAAAGGTGGTGCAGTTGCAGGTCCTTCTCTTGGAGAAAAAGTGAAAAAAGCGAATGAAAGGAAAGCACCTAAACCAAAACCAGAGAAGCCAGAGAAAGCTGAAAAACCTGAAAAGGCTGAAAGATCTGAAAGGGCTGAACGCGCATTTGCTGGTGATTCTTCCATAGGTAAGTTAGAAATATCTGTAGAAGATCCATAGAGATATTGAGTGCACCTAATTATAGCCAAAAGTAAATAGAACTGGTTGCTGGCTTTTTTTTTAAATTATTTATTTGTATGTTCAATAAGGTGATATTAAAACACTAATAAGATGTCCTTGTACATTCTACCATTTTGGCTAGCAAACATTGATGCAGGTTCAGCATCAGACATATTATGTGTTACAATTTATCAGCTAAATAATCAGACACAGTGTAATAACATTTGTTTGTAATAATTTTTCACAAGGGTATTGTAAGTTTCTTTTTAAAAATTGTCATTGGTTCTTTATTTATTGAATTAGGAATGTGGTTAAAAATAGCCAGCGCCAAAAACACTTTTCGTCAGTAGAGCAGTCTTATACCAACCTGTGTGTAACAAGTTTTGGTATTGAGATCGCAGGCTGTGCCCATTAGCTTTTGATCTCTTCAGTGTAGTTGGATGCTGTCTTTAGTCTTGGCCTGTCTTCATCTTATTGCTACAATATTATTATGTAGATAAAAAAATATGTAATTAATTTTTTCAGAACGCAAATCAATAAGGCAGAGTACAGCAGTGAAATCAGCAGAAACACTACAGAGAATTAAGATCAGATCGGCATTGAAAAAGAAGAAACCCAAAAAGGTTGAAGACAGGATGCCCACACAGGAAGAACTGCTCGAGGAAGCTTTGATCACTGAGAAGGAGAATCTTAAGAGCTTGGGTAAGCTTGTTATCAACAACTAGCTGTTGCCCGCGACTTCGTTCGCGTGGAATTATATCATACTGGCTTTTACCCGCGGCTTCGCTCGCGTCACAAAAGGATAAAAAGCCAGTGACATATACCAATACACACAGCGCCATCTATACCAATAATTTCGTTTTCCCTCGAGAATATCAAATTTTTCCGGAATAAAAAGTACCCTATTATTTAATCCAGACTTCTAACTTCACGTCTGCAAAAATTCAAAGCAATCGGTTTAGTAGTTACACCGCGAAAGTGGAACAAACAAACAAACAAACTCACTTTCTGATTTATAATATTAGTACTTTATTGATTTATAATATTGATACTTTTTTGACGCGACATCGTGTTGATTGGCGAGGCGTATTTGAGAGGTATGAAACGGAACGTTTAGTGTCTACTCAAGATGGCGACTGCGGTTTGTCTGTCAGTGTCATTAAAATAAATTAATAAAACGAAATAATTTCCGTAATCCGAGTTTTGCGGATATATGTTGTCGACCCGAAATCGATATTTTTTTATGTTTTGTTATACAGGTAATGTTTCGATCGAGTCTACTACGGTACGCCCCTTGACGAAATTATTAATATAGATAGATAGATAGATTCCTTAAATATATAACATAACATCACGCCTTTTATCCCCGAAGGGGTAGGCAGAGGTGCACATTATACCACTGTACAATGTAACACCCACTTTTCACTATTTATGTTATGAGTCCCATGTCATAGGGGGTGAGCCTATTGCCATATACCGGGCACAATTCCAGACTCCGTGCTACTACTGAGAATATTTAAAAACCCAGTAATACTTTGCCCGACCCGGGAATCGAACCCGAGACCTCTTGCCCGGCAGTCGCACTTACGACCACTCGGCCAATGAGGCAGTCAATATATATATTTTAATCATAATTATATAATATACCTTAAATATATTTTAATCATAAAATATATTTTAATCATATAGTTTTGAAATGAAGTTGAATGATCTATGAAATATGATTTAGCTACTTAGTTCTTTCATAATCATTTCTGAGACTTATGGGTACTATCGATTTGATCTTTTTATGTGACCATTCTGATGGAGACGCTAACTAGCTTGCAAGGTGCAACTAAACTAAGCTATCAAGGGCTGAGTTTTAGCCCTTAGTAAATATCAGCCCTTAGTATTATGAATATTTATGTTTTATCATATTTTTATCTTTTATTTCAGAGAAATTTGAACAAATTGAGTTGGAGAGGAAAAAGATACGACCCACCAAGAAGACTATTACTGGACCTACGATAAGGTAAAAAAAACTTTACTAATATTATAAATGCGTCATTTGTATGCTGTGTGTATTTTTGTTACCCATACATACATACATAACCTCACACTTGAATCCCATGGGGGTAGGTTTTTACGACTCGACATAACTCTTTCACTTCATCAACAGTCATTAGTCTTTTCACGTTAACATGACTGGAGGGATCGGGATGAAATCAGGTATAAATTATGGTTGTAATTACCACATAGGCTACTTTTCATCCCACTAGAACACGGGTGAAAGCGCTTGCAGAAGCTTGTCTGTTATAATAAATACTGACGACTCACCTTCCATCGCATGAAGTTTTAGTCCCACCTGTTCTTTCATAAAATTCTTCTTCATACCACAAAACAAACACCACAGATGACAACAAGACCTAGCGAAATCGGTCCAGCCTTTTTTATACTACGACGGTGGCAAAAAATTATACCCGTGGCCTATGTACGCTTGCGACACTTGGTACATCACATGCGCCTTGCCGAAACGTACAAACCTATTCACTCCTCTCTTGAATAACCCCATCTTGTAGCCCACTGGGGAAACCACGGCAGCCTCCCGTTCCCGCGTGATTCGATGACCAATCATATTATATTGGGATTTTTTTTATGGGAGACAGGCGTGAAGTTATGTATGTATGTATGTTTTTTTTTATGTTCTAGGTACCATTCATTTGCTGTTCCCATGATAGAAGAAATACCACCAGCGGAAGATAAGTCCAGTCTACTAGGAGACCTGAACTTGAGCGATATCATTAAACACGAAGATGGTGAGCGAAATTCTACCTTAAAAGACGTGACATAAAAACGACTTTGTTTCTTGAAGACAGTGGTCATAATTACAATACCCATTTGGACAGTTTTTTTATAGCATAAGCCGGTAAACGAGCATATCACCTGATGGTAAGCAATCGGTGCCGCCAATGGACACCCGAAACACCAAGGCGTTACAAGTGCGTTACCGGCCTTTTGGGAATTGGGAATTTGAGGATTGTGGAGGATTCAGGGATTCGGGATACTAGGGAGGGGGATAATTAGGCTTCCGGTAAACTCACTCACACGACGAAACACAACGCAAGCGTTGCTTCACGTCGGTTTTCTGTGAGGCTGTGGTATCACTCCGGCCGAGCTGGCCCATTCGTGCCGAAGCATGTCTGTCCCACGCTTATTTAAAATAATAAAAATAATAATTCGCGATTTTTTACGTGCTCGTTCATACCAAGTTATAGAGAGAGTTTTAAGTGGCACATGTGAAACCGGGTCATTTAAACTGTTTCGACTGTCAAATAAGTAAACTGGTTGACGAACTTTGACGTGATCGAAACCACATTCTTTCTGTTTTTAAGCATTCAGACAATAATATATAATTCTATTATAACCTCCTCGTATTTTGAAGTTGGTTAATTATTATACTATACTCTTCTCCTAAGTGTAACAAACGCTTTTCTGAAAACCACATCAAAATCGTATCAGCCAATGGCGAGATTGTCACACACATACATACACACAAGTGAAACTGGGAACCTTTTTCTTTTATAGAAGTCGGTTAAACAGAAAGTCTATTTAATTTATAATATTTTAACAAAGTAATACGGACTCTTCAGTGCTAACTGAGCAAAGATTTCAATAATACGGTAGTTTCCTAAATTTTATTTTAATGTCCGTCTGGTAAATTATTTTAAAACATTAGACACGTATTTTTTCTTTTCTCACAGAATTCAATACTTTCGTCGATTCGATTAATTTGAAATATCGTGGGACATAACAGCGTGCTACATTTTACAGCACGTTGTGACGTAAATACTCTTAAACTTAATGCCATTTTATCTAAGTATTGTAGCTTTATACAAGAAAATAAAAAATACGTGTCTAATATTTTTTCATTATCTAACTGACGGACTGATTAGATTTTTAATTTTCTTACCCTGACAACTACCCAATTACTTGAAACTGCACTATATCATTACTCATTTTCCAACATCACTAAATGCAGGTTTATTAGAGGGTCAAGAAGTTAAGACTGAAGAACCGGACCAGCCTGCTGAATCGGAGGAACCTGTAACCAAGATGGACGTGGACTTCATAGGACCTGACGAGGAAGTCAACATTGAGAAAGTACCGTAAGTTTCAACAATAGTAACTGACACTCCACTACTGGTGGTCTATAGGCCACACCGCTACAAAAAAAGATTTACTATAATCTGTACACTTGGTTGTCGGGGTTGCAATGGGGATGATGACAAGGTATGAAAATTAAAAATATAATTAGTCCGTAAGTTAGGTAATGAAAAAATATTAGACACGTATTTTTTTATTTTGTCGTATAATAAAACAATACTTAGATAAAACGAATCAAAGTTTAGGAGTGGGGGCTAAAACGTAATTTCTTAGTATAAAATGTACTGAGAAGTGACGTCACGCGACATTTCAAATCAATATATCTTCGAAACTATTCGTTTCTGTGAGAAAATAAAAAATACGTGTCTAATGTTTTTAAATAATCTATCAGACGGACATTAAAATAAAAATTAGTCGTCTACCCTATTAGTTTATATTTAACTTATCACCTGATTCAGCCCCAATATCCCGTAGCGGTCGCTATCCTATTAAAGCAAAGGTTGTCTGGAAGAAATCGCCGCATGTGATAAGACCGCTCATTGTACTCAAATTACTATTGCAATGTTTACAATTTTTTTTCTGTGTGTGCAATAAAGTATAAATAAATAAAGCAAATGATTTCCAAATGAATCAAAATTGACCCAAAAATAGTCAATGACTACCAAAATTAGAACCACAGTTTAATATGAAATAGGCTAAGGCGACGGAGCCCCGCTTTGCGTTACTTACCACAGGTTTTGAATTAACCTAACGAATAGCATGACGGAGCTATTGACAAACAGCTAAGTAAAAGCTATGCCATTCTAACCTATTCCCTACTACGTCGGGCAGCCATCAAAGGTTTTTCTTAAATGTTGGCCCACACTAGGACTTTCTCCTGTGTCGTGGGTGCGTTTACAAACATACAAGTTCACATACACATGACACCCAGACCCGGAACAACAATCTGTGGATCACACAAAGAGTTGTTCCGTGTGGGAATCGAACGGACACGTTGCACGGCAGTCAGTTGCCCAACTACTGCGCCAATCGTGCAGTTAAATGTGATAATTTACTACATTTTTGGTGTTAAGTATTTATATTATTGGTAACAGAAATAATTAAAGTATTTCTGGTGGTCATCGTATTTAATCCCATTTAAAAGGTATAGGTTTATCAGAAAGCGTCTGACTGACTGCCTCATTGGCTCGAGTTCGATTCGCGGGACGGGCAAAGTATTACTGGGTTTTAAAAAGGAGCCCGGTATATGGCAATAGGCTCAAATCAAAAGTCTTGATTCCCAGTTCGTCAGTAGCGCTAATATTGAAACAACGAGATTATTCATTAACGTCCTAGTCTATAATTACTTACTCTTGAAAATATTTATTATTATTTTTTTTATAAATTCACAGTAAAGAAGAAAAATCACAGAAGAAAAGAGAACCAGAAAATATGAAGTACTACGAGCGCACTCTGCTGTCATTCGAAAATGACATCAAGAACAAGGCATTTAGGTCGTGTTTCCCAAAACAGAATGTTAAGAAACGAAGACAACTGCTTTGCGCTGTTACGAAGTAAGTACATAGTACATATTACTTTTAATCATCACTAGTTGATAATTGATTCAAGTTACACCGATTAATACACCCACTTGTAACTCCTATGGTCTTGCGAGTGATCCATATGGTTATTTTCCATGCTATCCATTAAAAAAAAACTTAAAGGAAAATAATTGTTATTGTAATTAATAGTAAATGGAATTAATATAAATATAATATAAATAAACAATTTCAAACTAGAAAGTAGGTATGAATCTTCCGTTTATCCATCTCTTTTTAATCTTATTTATTTTTAAAAATTTAACCTTGTCGCAATGTAAATGTCACAATTTTGTTCACAGACGACCAGCCCGCTACATTGATCCTATAACCAAGTTACCGTACAGAAGTGTAGATGCCTTCAGAATAATACGCGAGGCATACTACCAACAGTTGGAGGCTAGAGGTGACAGGAACGACCCGCAAATAGCTGCCTGGCTACAATGGAGGAGAGCTGACCAAGCTTCAACTTACGTACAGATACATATTAAGTAGAATATTTTACTACACGCAACCAACGGACACCCAATGGATGAGGGGGGCCTCATCCCCAATCCACCAATCCCCCCTCATCCCCAATACCCCGATCCCCCCAATTCCCAATCCCCCGATCCCCCAATCCCCCCATTCCCCAATCCCTCGATCCCCAAAATCCCCCAATCCGCAAATCCCAAAATCCTCAAGCCAACAACGCACTTGTAACTCCTTTGGTGTTGTGGGTATTCATGAATTGAATAGATTGCTTACCATCAATTGATCCGTCGTCTCGCTTGCCATACCATACCATAAAAACATGGCACAATTATATTCAATGGATATCCAACTTTAAATATTTGATCATTATAGTCGAAAATAAAATAGCAAAAATGTCATATAGAAGTTTCACAAATTCTGTGTCCAAAATATACCGAGGCTACTACCGACGCTTTTTAATGTGTGAGGATGATTTCAAGCATACCAAGTTCCCTTGTATTGTATTTTTAATAGTGAGAACCAAGGTAAAATAATAATTTGTAAAAGACAACCCCCCTACAATGCCTGTATCGAACAATGCTGTAGTTTTAACGTTTAATTTTAAGTTAATTAATTTTACAGTAAATTGAAATAAATAGAAAAATAAGTATTGTAAATATTGCTTGTAATTTTATCAATAAAAAGTTTTAAACCTAAGATTATTTTTTATTGATAAAAATTTTATTATTGTTCAATAACCGGTGCCTTTAGCCAAACGCCACTTTAGCGCTTGTCTACCGAGAGAGTAGTGAATGTATAGGGATGACACTGCCAAGTCATCAATCCCATATACGTTACCGTAAAATGGGGTGAATAGGGATCGAGAGGTGAATAGGGACAAAAGACGGGTGAATCGATACTACGAAGAATTTCCTTTTATCTATTATACCCCTCTTCTGTCCCTTTTCGCCGCTCGAACCCTATTCACCCCATTTTACCGTTAATTTAGTTTTCTACTCTACAAGTAGACAAGCGCTAAATGGTATTTGGCTACAGCTGCTGATTTCAGTCGACACAATCTAAGAGGTCAACTCTCACAGCTACCATGTTGGGAGAGGTAAATAAGATCGATTGCTGTTTATGACCGATTCCACAGTAATGACAGATAGAACTTCAAATAGTGTAGCCTTGCAGCATTCGGGCGTTAGATTAGCGGGGGGCTATTTAGGCGGGAGTTAGTTCGTTATCGCCGGATTAGAAAATTCAAACGAGAAAACGTTCCAGGACGTTCATACAAAGTTATAGCGGTACATAGACTGACAAACGTCAGAGTTGACCTCTTAGATTGCGTCGACTATAGTAAATGTACTAATGAGAATTGAGTTTACTTCCCAAAACTCATTAAAATCGGATTGGTTCGTTCTCTGAAGTCGGCCAATCAGAGCGTCGAACACGCTCGATTCTCTACGTTACGAATGCTATAGTAATTTGTGCTTGGCACTCAGGTGCTTCGACATAGGTAGTTTGTCGAATGTCCGTGTCACTTCCATTCATAGAGTTTTCTATTCACTCGTTTAATTAGCGTTTTAAGTTAAAGGATCTTACAATAAGAAAAATATTTCAATTAGGTAGGTAGGTTATCGACTAAAAAGAAATTCGTAAATGAGAAGACGAAAAGAATGTAAGTTTTATTTAATGTAGAATAAATAGTTACAGTAAAATCTTAAAACTTAATAATTAGATTCAATAACTGTACAAAATTGTACAAATCGATAAAGCTAGCGAATAAACAATAAAACGAGGACGAGTTTCTAGAACATACAATCCTAAATATACGACACAGAACTCAAATTCGTTTAGCAATTCTATATATCTTACGCTCTTTTGACAAAAATATAAAATGAAGATTGATTTAATCGACGTAAACATAGGCAAAGAACTTCAAGGCTAGCCTTTTCTAAAAACTATGACTTAAAAAAATATTCTTATTTTTTAAAGTGAGTATTAACTAAACTTAAGGTACTAGTAAAATACTGGTATTACTAACTTTATGACTATGTTCGTTAGATGACTATGAAAATGGAAAAATGATAATTATTATTACAAAATATTGTCCACAAGGCTCAATTTACGTTGCAACAGTAAGAATTTTAAAAACAAATTATGTTTTTTCTAAAATGAACTTTAAATTAGATGTGTCAAGTACAAAATTTACTGTAAGAGAAAATATGAAAGATTTTGTAGATTGAATGCTACCTCAGTTCAAATAAAGTTCAATCCTTGATGCGCTACTTTGATACAACAAAGATAACATTCCACAGTAAACGCAACTTAAACCTTATGTTCAAATAATTAAAGCACTTAACTAAAGGTCAACCGTAAATTTAGGATTTAATCTAAGATCAGGCACACTATTCCTTCGAGGCTTTCGCTCCTTCAATTCTTTCAATGAGATGAGACCAGATGCTTTTACATCCAATCTTGAATGATATTTCGATGGATCAGTTGTCGGCAAATACGGATATTCGCTCAAGTAAGTCTGTGCGTTTCTACGTGTGTTCTTTAGCAAAGTCCGTAATCTGTGATTCGGCAATTCGTACGAGTTTATCGATGTATCAGCTACGTTTTCCATAGACCGAAATGCTTCTAGAACTGCTTTCTTATGAGGTATGCCTCTCAAACTTCCTTGCCTACTCAGTTTCCCTTCAGTGACATCTGTAAACAAATCTTCTACGTTAAATTTCTCCGATATTTTCACTAGCTTCGTGTTTGAAGAACTCTCCCGGTTTTCTTGCAGTTCATTCCAGATCTTTGATATCTCTGATGATGGCATGGAGTGAGACTTTATGTTTTTCTTCACCCTCTTCTGGGGGCGGTCATTCTCAACGGATTCTGTTGATTCCTTACGCAAAAGTTGTTCACATTCATTAAGTTTTCTAGGCTTCTTCACTTCTCTTAGTTCTTCAATGGATTGAAAGAATTCTTTTGCCATTTTGAATCTGTTTTTATATTGTAGATGTGCTGGTTCGGTTTCTCTTTCTGGAGAAGATTCGGTTGATTTATCTGTATTACATTCTATGATTTCGAGTTCGATATCAGAGAGACTTAGGTATGTAGTTTCTTTATTTTCATTGGGAATTACTTCCACATCAAAGGATCCAGAAGTTCTAGTGTCCAAACTAAGATTGCTGACAGTTTCTGAATCTCTGCTTGTCCACATATTTGTAGGTGTAGCTCCAGGCGTAGTCCGTTTTGATCCACTGGTAGAAACGCTCCCTTGGTCGGCGTTGTGTCTGTGCACAGCATCTGTAAAATAACGGGATTAGCATCATCTTTTATCAATGTTCCTAGATTTTAATTGTGACTATGTATATTTACACCAATACTAACCTGACTTTATGCTGTGAGATGGGGAATTCTTCTGTGAATCAGCAGAACTATTTCTGTACACCCGTTTAGCTGGTTTTGTTGCTGTAGCAGTCTTTGTCACGCTTTCGTAAAGCGATATGAAGTTCTTCACGTTAATCTTAGGTAATTCATCGCATGATTTATATTTATCCAAACCGTCATCTGTGGTATCGTTTGGAATTTTATTAAAGATGTCCATTTCTGATTTACTGAATGATTTCTTTCGGAGAACTTCATTTGTTGTTCTAATTGGTTCATATTCCTTATGTAGGTCTTGTATTGCTGTCCTTACGTTTTCGTTTCGTTTTGGTGTTGAAGTAACAAACTGTTCTTGTACGGGTTCTATATAAATTGTTTCATCCAACGTTTTATTAAATGAACTATGAACCATTCGAGCTCGTTTATTTTTCAGATTTACAGATTCTTTGACACTGTAATTAGTGGCTTCATTGATTCTGTCTTCTAAAGTCTCAGTATTTGGTCGTTTTATTAGTTCCACGTGTAGATTTTCCTCAGAAGATACAATGCTTTGGTTACTACTTATTCGTTGGCTTACATTTTGTAAAGATTGACTTTTTCTTCTAGCCCATGGCAATGGTTCCGTGTTAGACAAATTATGGAACAAAGATATCCGACTAGATACGAGACCACTCTCATGACATTCTCCACCGGTGACGTCAGCGGTGGGAATGTCATCAATTCCCGGTTTGCCTAAAAATGTGTCAATTTTGTTAAGTATTTGTTTCCTTGAAGTACCGAAAAATCTCTTTGGACTTGTTTCAAAAGCTTTGAATACTTCTTCTGGCAATTCTTGTTTCACGGGCGGTTGGTCTTCGAATGGCAATACGTTGCTATTGTATTTTGTTGTTTCCACTTTTATTTCAACTGGGTTTTCAAATTTGTTAGAGTTAGAAGATGAGCTTAATGTTCTTACTTTATTGCTAGGAGATTTCGTTTTTAAAGCAGTAGCTTCATCTTGTACTTGATCTGTTTCTAACTTTTCATCCCAATATTTCTTCCATCTTTCTACTAACTTTTCGTTTGTAGTTTCTACGTCAGCCGATATTTGTTCGTGGTTAGGTTCTTGTGGTTTTATTTCTGCATGTTTATCTTCAATCTGATTTATATTTTTAACTTGACTGTAATCGCCTGAGTTTAGAAAGTTTTTAAGAATCTGTTTGCCCTTTCGCTTGCTTAACGAATCATGTTTTAATTGTTTAGCAGAGATACGTTTCTTCTTTGGCTGTATTGAAGTCTCTGCCGATTTAGCCTCTATTTGGCGAATTTTCTCATCCCAATACTTTTTCTTTTCAAGTACTATGTTACTAAACGTTGCTTCGCCAAATTGCGTTTCATCCTTATTTTCCTTCGTGTATTTATTATAGGCTTTATCGTGATCAATGCGAAGGGGTTGACTTACTGAAACAGATTCAGTGACATTTGCCTGAACCTCAGAAATCGTTCCTTCTAATTCCTCTGTGTGTCTTTTCACATCTGTTACATCAGATGCAGAATCGACACTAGCGTCCTTTGTTTGTAACGTATTCTACTTCCGTACTGTGAATTTTATCATTTTCATCCACAGTGGCAGTAGAACTAGTTTCTGAATTAGGAAAGTATTCTTGGTACATTTCATTTAGTTCAGCAAATGCCACCGATACATTGTCACCATCTTCCGGTTTCGTGCACCTTTCGGTTATAGGAATATCTTTTGTGCCTGAAGATATACTCCTATCGCTCTCTTCAATGATGGGTGTGAACGTCGGTCGTTTTATTTCCCACTTATAAGGTTTCTGTTCTTCCTGAACTTTTGTGGGTTCGATTTTCAATTCGTTGCATGTTTGCCATATTTCTCTTTCAGCGGGTCCCATGTTTGATAGTTCTTCCTGATTTAACCCAAATTTGTCGTCACTAAGAGAAAACTTTGGTTTACTAAGTGACTCACATGGAATAGTATTTTCGTTATTATTGCTATCTGGAGAACTGTTATTGTCATCGATACTTACGTATGCAGAATCCCATATATCTTTCCTAGGCGACGGATTTCTGCTTGAATCAATTTGATATGGTTCATATTGATTGTCGCTTGTTGTTGACGCATTAGAATTGTCAATAGTTAAGTTGGATTCTAAACTATGAAAGGTAGAAGAATCTCCTGAAGCGTTTTCATTTTTACCAATTTTTGGTGTGTTCAAATCAGTTGGTAGTATAGTTGGGTCTGTACGTATCACTTCAGTTTTCTTATCTTGTGTTTTTTTACTTTTTACGTTCTTTTATTTTTATCAGTGCCTGGTTGTATCAGCGGTTTTATTTCTGGTTCTGGTGATCGAGCTCTTATGATAGGTGGCAAAGAAACGGGGGCACCAATGATGAAGTCAGTCATGGGTTTTGATTGTTCAAAATGACCTGATTGATGGTGATGCATGAAGAAAGGATTCACAAATTCATTGCCTAGAGCTTCCTCAGCCATTAATTCCGCTTTTGGATCAATATACACAGATTCTTCGCGATCAACTTTCTCGCCTGAAATTATTTTCAACACTGGCGTTTTTGGTCTTTCGAATACAATAGGTTCCGGTTTTATATAACCTACATCTTCAACTTCAATAAATGGGTTATTATGGGCGGGTGATGGAGTCATATTAGGATCGATTAAATTGTAATTGAACTATCTCTTGTTTCTTCATTTTGCGAGTTATTTCGTTCATATTCCGAAGCTACGAACGGTCCTAAATTCTTGGAAGCTACGTAATTTTCTTCAAACATTTCGTTTAAGAAAGGATTGTTGGTAGTAGATGGCATTATTTGATCACGTAAGTTATCATCTTGATCGTCATTTGACTCCGTATATCCATCCAAGCTATCAGGAGTACCAATTCTAGTAGATTCCATGGGTAAATTTACTGTCACTTTTCAGTATCAGTTCTTATTTATATAGGCCAGTGTTGTAGGATGCGGTAGATTTCTCCGCCCTCAAGGATACTGAAATACTTTCTGGAACAATGAATTTTTCTCGTAGTTCGGGTATTATGAACGGTTTTGCTTTTGTTTCTGTTAAGGTTGAATTTACAATATCAGGAATTTCTGTTTGCTCCTTGTTTGCAGGTAACTATCTTTCTTTGTAAATTGTATTTGTTTTTCTGATTTAAGGTCATTCAGTACTTTGCAAACCTATTCATTGCTAATATTTTAGAAGCAACTTTGTTAAACCTTTTAGTTTTAATTACTGTTGACTCCTCACTGTTCTCAACATCGGAAAAGCTCTCAGTGCTGTAATTTGGCATATCATTTTCTGTGTCAGTTGCCATTAGAATCCTGGCTTCATCGTCACTTATTTTCTCTAAAGTACCGTTTTCTTTCAATAACATTTTCTCAGTAACAAAATCAACTATTCGTAGAACAACTTTTCTATCAGTTTTAACGTCAACTATATCTATTTCTTCACCGTCTTCTAAACAGTAATTGTCTTTTTCTAGTATATTGATGATGTTGTGGGAAGCGGTTATTGTGAATGGCGAGCCAACAATACTCTGACCTCTGCTTGTAATAGAAATTAAGTATTTTCCTTCAAGGTTTACGACGTAACTTATTTTCGCGTGATCTGTTCGTATTTCGACATCGATTTCAATATCATACCTCGTTTTCGGTATGTAATATGTTTTGTTCATATCGTTTTTACCGTAAGATCGTAAGTATGTCGCTCCTTGTGTTATTGGTAAAACGTTTTCAGTGAAGTTCTGTTTAGATTGTAGGCCCAAGAGTTTTTGTCTGATCATCTGTGCTTTGCCCAAAATTGGTGGCAGTACTGTCATGCCATAAGTGTCTCTAGGTCCTCGTATTAGGATCGTTATTTCTCCTGGGTCTAACGCTTGTTGTGCTGTCGGATATATTTTGAAGCTAGCCTTATGGTTAACTTGCGCTGCTGATAACCCAGACCCTTTTGCAACGTAGTCAAGAGTAAACTGTGTTGTTTCTGGGGAAGTTCTTTGAGAGACTGGTTTTGAAACTGGTGGCGTTAATTTCGATAGTGCTTGTCGAATGCGGTCTAAGTATGTGGCGAGCTTCCATTCTTGGTGTCTGCTTAGTGAATCGTTTGATTCCAACTCTTGACGGGAGAAAACCTGGAAAAGGGAGATTTTGAATTAGTTTCATCATTAGTTCTAGTAATGTCGATGTATTTATTTACTAGCTTCTGCCTGCGACTTCGTTCGCGCAATCCCGTTTTCTCCCGTTCCCATAAGATTTTCAGGATTTTTTTTATCATAAGAACCTTCTCCTCACAATAACAAACACAACAACAAAAAAAATCAGCCAAATCGGTCTAGCTATTCTCAAGTTATGGCGTGACAACGGGAAACGGGTTTAATTATTTTTATATATATGTATATAGATAAACAAAACTCTCCTTAGAGTCAGGTAAAAATTGAAGTGTTCTGTATTTATATTTACTCTATTTCTCTATTCGCTATTTGATGTACTATTGGGTTATCGATGGCTAGATTACAAATATATAAAAATGCTAGAAAAACTTACAGGTTCAACACCAAGATAATGGTCGGCAATAGCCTGCGCGTGTTTAAGAGACAGGCGGGTGGGAGGATGCCCTGCGCAGGCGCCTGGCAGAGCCGCGTCCAGTACACCACATAGCACCCAGCCGTGTCGCCACACTGTGTCCAAGTGCTCCACTCTCACGGGACCAGCTTCTGCCAGCCATTTTAGAACTGACTGCTTTTGCTCCTCACTCGAGAATACTACTGGAAAATATAGAAAAGTCTATGTGAGACATTGCCACAAATTTTTGCTTGTTGAGGTCACTTTTTGTATTATACAAGGACATTTGCTAATAACTAAGCCTTCCTTGAAATTCCTAGTTGGGTACGTATTGAAAAAGGGTTCCGTATAAAGTGGGTTACCTAACTATGTATGTTATGCAGTATGCAGCTCATCAGTGATGCATTCGCCAGATGTCAACGCACCATTAGATAAATAAGAACGTAACGGTAAAATGGGGTTAATAGGGATCGAGATGTGAATAGGAACAGAAGAGGGTTGAATTGATACTATGAAAAATTTCCCAATACCTATTCACCTCTCTTCTGTCTCTATTCACCTCTCGATCCCTATCCTATTTTACGATACTTATATACACACTGATACTATGATGATAATTATGGCAATAGGCTCACCCCCTATTACATGGAACTCATAACATAAATGGTGAAAAGTGGATGTTACATAGTACAGCGGCATTAAGTGCCATGTGCACCTGTGCTTACTTCTTCAGGGATGAAAGGCGTGATGTCATCTATGTTAGATACACACCTTTATTCCATAGGAATAGGTATATAAAAACTACAGAGAAATTAAAAAGTATACTACTGGAACTACTATTACACACACTTTACACATTTTTAGCTCCTATTACATTAATGTAAGCATTCAACTAAGTACCTATCTAAGACTTTTAAACGTTAGTTTAATTTGAATTGACCGTTATTAGCTACCTAGGAAGCATTGAACAATGAAATTAGACCCGTAAACACATAGGTATTTATCAATGTAACCTTACTCAACACTAGTCAACACGTTGCATGTTATTTTCTTTCTCAATGGATAAAGTTATTTATAAAGAAATGAAGGCAAGTATTGTAAGGAAATCGGGCCATAGAAATCGCCACACGCAAACTTCATTACTGATGTTTTAATTGTATTTTAATGAAGAAACTTGACAGTTGTAAATTGGAAAACAATGAACAGCACGTCACTGGTTCTTATAATGAAATAGGGAAAAAATGAAATAGTTTTTAATTGACCTTATTCTTCGGATAAATATTTCATTCATTTAACGCAGGACTAAAAACATCAAAGCAAGATTATTAACAGTCTTCAAAAGAAATAATAAAGGAGGTTCTTATTTTGACCTGTATGTACCTACTAGCTTTTACCCGCAGCTTCGCTCGCGTCACAAAAGGATAAAAAGTAGCCTATGTGACATATACCAATAGACACAGCGCCATCTATACCAATTCTTTTGTTTTCCCTCGGGAATATCAAAATTTTCCGGGATTAAAAGTACCCTATTATTTAATCCAGACTTCTAACTTTACGTCTACAAAAATTCATAGCAATCAGTTTAGAAGATTCGGCGTGAAAGCGGAACAAACAAACAAACTCACTTTCCCATTTATAATAAGGATGTTTGTGCGGGATGATCTCGCGATTGGCTGAACCGCTTTCGATGCGGTTTTCAGAAAAGAGTTTGTTACACTTAGGAGAAGATTTAAGTCAATTTTAACCGACTTCAATAAAAGTCGTCGTCGCTTTTTATAAACGTAGTAAATAAAAGAAAGTTCCGATTTCACAAACAAGCAAAACAACTACCTACCTAATTTTTAACGCGACACTATCAATACACCACACTTAATACACTATCCAGTATTGGTCACACAACCCACCTATGGACTTAAAAAAATATCCGTGGACCTCTGTCATCAAGAACGAGTGTCAAAAACCCACAAAGAACTGAAGCAGAAATTAAAAAGCAACTACTTTTTATAACAACTAGAGTTGCAAAAGTGTTCGTTATCTTTCAAAATCACATCGTTTCAACTCGAAAAATGCCGAAAGTTGTTATTTATTTGACAGTGTGAAGATTTGGACAGAAACTGGTTGTAAAGCCAGAGAAATTGTGTTATAAAAGAATCATCAAGTGTGTGTTGGCGTCATATATGGAGAGTTCCGTACCATTATCTATGAAAAGTAGTAGGTATAAATTGACGCTATATGTATCTATTTTTTTTTAATTTTTGAAAATCATCGAATTACCTCTCCCGCCTGGGTGAGGCGGGAGGGACTGTCAGACTCTTACTGAATAAAAACCACCCCGTTCCTTCTCCTGCACGTCGAGCCGGAGCTCCCGTAACCCGTTAGGTTCTCCGCGACAAGAAAAATAGTATAAAGTGGCGTTGTTTGTATCTATGGGAGCCTTTTTTAAAGACTTCAGTGTTTAGTGTTAGAAATTAATACATAATCTGCGATTAATGGTTCATAAAAGCCTACAGCCTTTTTTATGTTATAAGTCGGTAAACGAGCAGACGGATCACCTGATGGTAAGCAATCAGCGTCGCCCATGGACACTGGAACATCAGAGGCATTACAAGTGCGTAACCGGCCTTTTGAGATTAGGAATTTGAGGATTGTTAGAGATGCAGGGATTGAGAATTTGGTAATTGGGCCTCCGGTAACCTAACACGACGCGTGCCTGGCCCAGCCTGGCAAGGACAGTGAATTCTTAGTATCGTTTATACCTTTTCTATACGGAACCCTAGAATATAACACACTAGTACCTACACTTGATAATAATCGACCCCAAGGTTAACGTGTGTGAATTAGTAAGTGCACATAACGTGAGTACAATGAAAGTGATGGATGATGGTGAAACTGACCACCTTTAAGATTAATCTCCATTGGAAGATTAGCGGATTAATGAGCTGCGGTAATGAAGATTAATTGATAAGTCATTTATTTTTATATTTTATTACCTACGTATCTACTTATAATTTATTGGCAATTGTATGCATGCAAAATATAGACGGATGTAATTCTAGTGAAATCTGAGCTAATGGTAGATTGAAATATGATCCACAAATGTTAAAAGAAAACGGGAACCTAGTTAGACTTCTAGGTGGTCGGAACAATACATCATAACATAATATCAAGCCTTTTATCCCCGAAGGGATAGGCAGTGCGCATTTCGTACTTAATGCCACTGTACAATGTAACACTCACTTTAAACTATTTATGTTACGAGTCCCATGTACCTAATAGGGGGTGAACCTATCACCATACACCGGACACGTTTTTTTTAAACTGTAGGTAACAATACACCTTCACAATTCAAAACTTTATGAATAATACATTAAAGTCTCATTTTCATCACTCCCAAAGCAAAATGATAAGACGCAATCAAGGAAACAGCTACTCAATGGGCTCTTCCTACAATTTCACTTTCAAAAGATACTAGGTCGCGATAAAACACCGTACTAAATTCTTTTGACAATAAATAAATACTTGGTAGCTACTTATTTAGGCAGAATTTACTTTTTTCTCTTCAGACCTCTGAGAAATGTTCCCACGACTTATATTCCGAACAATGCCACAATAGGTGATAAAGCGATAGCCGTCCGTGCGAATTTTTATTTGTTTTATTATAATAGGAGGAAAATATTTTATCCGTGACATTCTAGCCTTGTGTTTTAGAATAGATCGCTGTAACAATGTCTTTTAATTGGTTGTGTTTTAATATAGATAGTAGATATTTATTAACTGTTTGTGTAAAATCTGTTCGTGTCACCAGTTTTAGCGTGTGATATAAAGTTTTTCCTTGTCTTTTTATGTATGTATGTGTATAATGTTCTTAGTTATGACTATAACGTATTTATAGTCTTGTTAATAGAGCGAGACACCTGCGCATTGAGCTGCCATATCTGTTTGGTATTGATCTAATTTCTTTAATAGGTTTCCATCTTATCATACTCAAATTAAATGAAACTAGATTTTTTTGTCTTATTTCAAATGCCTTCGAAGTCGGTTAATTAATATCGGCACTAAAACATTCTCCACTATAAGCACTTTTCTGTAAACTGTATCAAAATTCAGATAACCGAGTGCAAAGATACATAATATGTACATACATACAGGTCAATCTTAGGACCTGAGAAAATACTTACTAGCTCTAAAAGCAGAGTCAATGTGCTTCAAAATTCTGAACAGAAAGCTTTGTTGACCCCAGAAGAGAGTGAGTAGAGTAGCCGGTGCGAGGTACCGCAGCGTGGTCAGTATGGCGTCCAGGGCGACCGACCACATGCCTCGGTTCGCTTCCAATTCTGGATACTCCGGTATCGTGAACAACCCTGGAAAGAGAGTGAATTTTAGTTAATAATTACTTGCATACTGTAGGATGTTTTCTTCTCGGCCGGTTGCGGATAAAGCGCAATAAGTTACTACGTCCCCGGCTTGAAGCGTTAGTAGGAACGCAGTCGTTTTTAGACAGTATGACACACTCCCGAATGCCTCATCCAGGGTAGAAGGAGTCATTTGATGGTAGATAATGGTTAAGGTTGGGTTCCTATCTTAAAAGATTGCAGATACATAAATAAAATCTAAGTAATAATTGTGTAAAGAAACGATATTTATACTTCGCGTCAGGAATAAGTCCGGACTTACAAAGGAAGATTTTTATTCACCATTTCCATGTTAAACAGATTGTTTAAAGTTACATAACGTAGACATTTATAACAAATAAAAATCAGAGTACTTATCAAAGTTTCAGTATCGAAACATGCACTAGTGTAACATGCTTAGCCAATAAAAATATCGACAATGATATTTCTTCACCAATCAGCATTCATATACAAAAGTGAAGGTTTCGCTACACTTTCAGTTGTTACAAAATTCGGCAATAAATTTTTAATATTATCCGGGAAATATTTTATAGACTACCTGCATATTACGGTGCTACTATCCTTCCTATAGGTACTTTGAGCCAACGAAATAACTATATTAATTAATAGATAATAGGAGGTTAAAACGCCCGATTCTCATGCATGAGGGTGTTGATTTGAAACCTTCCAACAGCAAGTACCAATGTGACTTTTTCCGAGTTAGGTATATGTATGTAGTTTCTAAGATTATTTAGACATCACTGAACTGAAAAACGGTATAGGAAACCATCGTGAGAAAACTCACAATGAGCAAACGTGGTGTTGGATGCTCAAACCTTCTCCGTGTGAGAAGAGGCTTTGCTCAGCAGTGAGCATTTATAGGCTGTTGAAGTGTGTTTGACTGCGGTTTCTGTTATTTCAGTGCAACATCTTTACATAGATTTATCTTTATACGCGCAGGAAATACATTATCGGCGCGGTTAACGCTGATTGTTGCGTTTGTATTGAAGATACGCGCGCATAACGCGCGGTTACGCGCTGTAGACACACGCACACGTGCAGTAGACGCGTGTTGCTTGCGCCTATAAAAATACACTGTGAGCTTATATGGGTCTTAGACTTTATATAGCTAATTCTGTCCAAAACCAATGTCGATCTAGAGCTGTTGAATTAAAATCATTCATTTCGACTGTTTGGTAATCTATTAAAATACTAACCAATGCTTCGCGGGTGTTGATCCTGTAACACATTTTCTTTGTACCGTCTCACCAGGTCCTCGATGCTGTCCGACATTTTAACACTATTTCTCAAACTCCATTATTAATGCTAAGAAAAAAGATGGCGTATTTTTTTTATTATGAATTAAGTATTTTATCATGGATGCTCATGACGGTTTTTTTGGTCGTATGTTTAATTACGATTAATTTGTTTTGCCGAATGTTTCGTATTTAATTGCGGTTTGTATGCGAATTATGAATTATATTATTAGATCTAGCTATAGCTATATATGTATGTATCTCCTCCAAATGATTGTATATTTTTTCGGTTGGCTTTATATTAATTTGAAGACGTTATAATAAAATTATAATCATCGTCCGCTTTCTGGAATTCCCTTAACTCGTCAAATTAATTATATTTTAGACGTTGTGGTAAAGACAATGTCAGTTGAGGTGTGAAATAATTTGATAAAAATAAAACATATTTTGAATAATAATATCACATCTTTTATCCAGAAGAGATGCCCATTATGACACTTAATGCCACTGCACAATGTAACACCTACTTTCACTATTTATGTTAAGAGTCCCATGTAATAGGGGTTACATGTAAAAGCCTATTGCCATATAGGACATATTTTATAATTTATAATATACTAGCGACCCGCCCCGGCTTCGCACGGGTGCTTTATGCGTGCAATTTACATATAAACCTTTAAGAATCACTCTATCTATTAAAAAACACCGCATCACAATCCGTTGTGTAGTTTTAAAGATCTAAGCATACATAGGGACAGACAGACGGCGGATAGCGACTTTGTTTTATATATGTAGTGAAGATATATTTTAAAATACATAGTTTTAGAGGTGGTTATGATTGTAACAGATAATAAAAACAACTGTAACCTGCCCTTCAAGCAAAACAGGCGATGTAATCTTATTTTCTAAGAAGATAAAAATTCAAAGACAAGACCACGCCTATATTTGGTCAAGAAAACCTTATCAAGATGAGTTGAGTTCTTAAATCATATAGAGCGATAACGTAGTCTTAGATTATACTGAACACATACCTAAATGACTAATACTTTTTATACCTTCTTCGCAAGTAAAATATTTCGCGGTTATCATAGAGCAAATTTGACAAGGTTCAAAGTCTAGAAGGTTGTCTCATCACTATATAGAGGTAGTATAAAACAAAGTCACTATCCGCCGCCTGTCTGTCCCTATGTATGTTTAGATCTTTAAAACTACGCAACTGATTTTGATGCGGTTTTTTAATAGATAGAGTGATTCTTAAAGGAGGTTTATATTTGTAATAAATGCATATTGCACCCGTGCGAAGCCGGGGCGGGTCACTAGTAATAATTATAAGTAATCAAAGCAAATGATGATGTTCAATTGTTTATATCGTCTTTTGTTATTCCTCTCTTGAAAAATAAGGATAAGTTCAACAGGTAACTACCTACTACATTTAAACAAATATAGAATCATAAATTAAATCATGAATTAAATACATCGCTAAGAGTAAAACTCTAGAACTATCAAATACTAATGAGATCTGTAAGTAGGTACTTATATTAGTATTTTACTAACTGTAACCCGCGACTTTTTCCGCGTAGAATATGATTCCTGTTTTATCCCATGTAATCGGGTAAGATCTAATATCCTATCACCTAAGTCAACATATGAGTTGACTTAACAACCTATTAGCAGTGTATGCCCTGCACGTAAGTATACCAATTTCATCAAAATCCGTTTAGTAGTTTTAGCATGATTGACAGACAGATATTCAAACTAAAACCCTTCACATTTATATGATTAGTGTTATAGGTTAATGCATCTTTTTCTTTAAAAATATAATCAATATATGAGAACTAAAAACATCATACCTAGCTGATTCATAAATTAACAGCAATAGCCTTATCACAATTGGACTTTCCACATTAAGTACCAAATGTAGAGCATTTTCGAAAGTCCACCATGCCTGACCCGAGAGTCGAAACCTTTACTCCATACTTCCGTAGTCGAACTCGATAAGTCAGATAAAAGTATTAGCAAAATTTTTATAAATAATCAATGAGCTCATTAAAACATAATCTCAAAGCCGATCAGCTGTTTAATTACATTCATTACTCATTAAAATCGGACATTCAAACTGATATTTATCTATACACATAAATAAAATTGTAATGTCTGTTTATAATACTAAAATAACCGCTTTTTACTACATACATAATGAATATACCTACATACGATACACATACCAAAATAAGACCTTTTATAATTTTCGACGTCTGTATGTCTGTCTGTCTCTTTGTTTGTTCTGGCAAATCTGTGGAATGGCTGGAACGATTTTGTACGACTTTCGCAGCCAGCTGATGTATGTTACTCCTTAGTAACATAGGCCTCTTTTATTTGCCATCGCTAGAGACACTCCGGGCGACGGGGATCGCGAGACGATCTCCGGCCACCGTAAGCACGGGCCTGCGGACGGCGAGCACGGGCGACTCGCCGCCCGACCAGCACCAGGCCCGCCCGAGTATAAGGCGCGTCGCGTTCCGCCCGCGTCTCAAGGAGCCATCAGACCACCACAGATGGGGCCCAATAGGGCTGATGCCGATACGGAGCCGCGGAAGACATAACGGGTTGCCGGGGCTCCGGCTCGAAGTGCAGGAGTAGGAACGGAGTGTTTTTAGTCAGTAAGAGTCTGACACTAAGGCTAACTTAAAATACTGACATAAAAAAGTAGTATGATAAGGATTATGTCTTGTAAAAAATGGATTAAAGACTACCATTGCTACATATAGACTATAGCACTATGTAGATATGTATTGTAATAAAAAAATCACACCTTTTATTCTCCAAGGTATATGGAGATGAAAGTATAAAACAGCTTGCCAGTTCATCTAAAATATCAAATTCAAGAAAATATACACTTCACTAAAATCAGTCAATCTAAAAACACACTTAAAACAACTGTTCACAGACTTCAATTTCCAAATCGATTTACCTTAGAACAAAACACGTGGTTGCGAAAGAAAAATGAATAATAAAAACTTTTATCAAAAAAAAAAAATTATCTGTATAATCAATTGCACAGACTAAAAATGGTTCGTTTCAGACGCGGCGCAGTGACCATTACTAAGTCCTATCCGTTTTTTTATTAACCATCTCGGCAAATATCATTTTATCTTATCTTGGCTATGAGTGTGTCTCTAGTACTTAGATATTAGAAGGCGTGTGTGTTTGTTTGTTTGTGGTCAGCTTTAAAATTTTTGGGTGTTTGAAAATACCAGAGTAATTTACCCTGGGAAGTCGAGGCGATGTCTATAAGCTGGTAAACGAGCAGACTGATTTCCTGATGGTAAGTAATCGGCGTTGCCAATGGAACACCGGCGTTACAAGTGCGTTACCGGTCTTTTGGCGATTAGAATTTGAGGATTGTTGGGGATTCAAGGATTCAGGGATTGAGCAGATTGGGGAAGGGGTGGGGAGATAATTGGGCCTCCGGAAAAATATTAATAAAGAGTACCAAATTAAAGGAAACATTTAACACTGAGGTAATCCAACGAACAATCTAGTATATAAATTAATAATGATAAAAATGCATGATTCAGTGATAATTATGTTTTCTAATCAGTAAATAAATACAATAAAAGCAGGTACATATATACCTCTACAATGTGTGTAATGAACGAATGAGACATAGGATTATCTTAGGAATTTGTAATTAATTACGTAATCTTGGAAATCTCTAGTTGGTCAAATACTACTTTTTTTTTGAGAGGCGAAAATATCAATTACTTCTCCCACCTAAGTGAAGCGAGAGAGAGTGTCAGACTCTTACTAATAACCACCCCGTTCCTATTCCTAATCCTTCGAACCGGAGTCCCGGCAACCCGTTAGGCCTTCCGCGGCTCCATTTTAAATTATAGTACTCTATGCGCGGCTCGTATCGGGCTTCAGCCCTACTGGGGCCCATCTGTGGTGGTCTGATGCTCTTTGAGGCGCGCGCGGAAGGCCAAGTACTAGACTGAACTTTAGTCATGAACGGGCTGTATAGAATGTAGCAAATTGATAGGTATACTTAATTGACGATTCTTTATAGATTCCTAAAACATTCTTGTAATGTATTATAGCGTGATTACTTACTTAAAAACATATTCTTGATTTAACTTCATTTTAAACCCATACACCAAAATGCCTAATTAAATCCAGGTTCATAATAATTTAATCCAGATGTAGATAACAAAATACAATCCGATCGATCGACATTGATATTGTGAAATTTCGTACTCTTGAGTTGCAACACTGGCGCCCATTGCATCCGTAATGCGTGGATATTGAATGAACTAAATTATATTGAGTTTGGCTTTATATTCCTTACTTTGAATGCTATTTTAACAGCTACGATTGGGCTTGTATATTTGTTTTTTTTTTTAAGGGGGGAAAATCATCGAATGTCTGCTCCCGCCTGGGTGAGGCGGTAGGGAGTGTCAGACTCTTACTGACTAAAAATCATCCCGTTCCTTCTCCTGCACGTCGAGCCGGAGCCCCAGTTACCCGTTAGGTTCTCCGCGAGTCGATGTATATTTGACATTGTATAATTATTGAGATTTTATTGAATGAACATTGAGATTGGTATCAAGAAGGCGCTATAGGAAGTCTTTTTTAGACCATACATAAAATGACTGCCCTTTACCCTTCCCAGCTGACACTCACAGCAGAATTTCAGGTTTATATTTACCCCTCACATATGTAGATAAAAATTTAGCAAATCGAGATTAGACATACACAGCTATCTCCCATCCACATATCAGCCTTAACAAGCGTAGCTTATCGTCTCCACAGATATAAGTATGGTTATTATTGCTTTCGATTATTTATTGCTTTCCCATTACGCAATTAGAATGCACGAAATTAATCACTAGAAATGAATGCAATCACACTGAAGTAAACATTCGTAATGTTAATGAATACTTATCTAATCTTCGAAGTACCAAAGTTGGTTTTGTCGGCTCGATAACATCATATCACGTTTATCATTGTACTACATCAAATATTTAATACACGCTATAATGTACCTTGATAACATTTGGCGCTTACGTTCTTTTGATATGAA